TTTGATATAAACAATATTGATGATGGAAACTACATTCCTGTGGGTGTGGTGTGTAACACAAACGATATTGACGATAGAAAAGCTGTGTTTGCATTGTCAACAAACAATCACAGACTGTTTTCAACAAGATGATACACATTGGGTGGAAATTTGCCAGCAACTTGTCATACATTATTTCAACAAACAAATAAACTTTGCCTCAAATGATTGTTACTCTTTGATGGCTGTCACTAGCTGAAATTCCTGCAATTTGATTGGTACCGGCAAAAATCGTTGGCCAGAAGTGAAAAACTACATTGTTTCTAAGCGAGTCCGTCAGGCGTGTGTTTGGTTTGGAGCATTGTCAGTCTATATTTGTACTTTATGCTTCCAATACCTTCAGCACACAGGAGTTCTTTCTATGCTTTCTTTGATTCTAATCTATCTAGTATTTTAAGTTATTTATACTGGTATATTACTGAACTATTATACTAGTATTTTGGAACTTTTATACAATTCATGTTACCGGGTATGATATTTTATGACTTTGAGACTAATACATTACATATAGTATTACAATGTAATTGAGAAATACATTAGCTAGTATTTTTCATGATTATTTAAATAATGAAAAACATGCATATTGATTATCTAATTATTATTAGCCAAATTCTGATATCTCAAAAAATCAGATTTAAATTGAACTTGTGGTAGATGTGCTCAGTAATAAATTAGACCGAAAATTGATTTTCTGTTATAAATTTCAATAAAATGGATCATATTGTTTTCATAATACACATCTTAAATAGCAGACAAATATTAGTTGCCAAGCTTCTTGTTTGAAAGTCTTCTTAATTTGAATGTGTTTCCAATACTCTCAGCACACAGGAGTTCTTTCTAAACTTTCTTTGATCTGATTTCACTTGAACTTGTGGTAGAGGTGCTCTGAAATAAATTAGACCATAGACATACAATCAAATTTATTTTGATTTAAGTTTTTATTTAAAATATTCATGAATACAGTTAAATGGATTTTGAAGCCGTCTTTTGTTTCTGAAAAAATAAAGTAGGGGACAATGGGCAACATCATAACTATTTCTGGTGTGTAACTGTGTAGCATGAATGTAATGTAAACTAAGAGGGATATATATACTCTAAGATCTTTTAACTTTCCCATTCTGGTATTCTCAAATACACTTATTTAATAATTAAAAACATGATTCTGATTCACCTAGTACATGTGAACATATCTGCAACATAAATTGAAACTGATAAAATCATATTGTACTTGGTAGTATAAAACTGCCAGATCCATTAAGTAGCTTTATCTGTGTGTGTTGTTTTACTAGTACTTTACATGTCTATGAAGACAGTGGGGTTTCTATACTAACTGGCCTCTCTTTCAGTTCTGAAACAGGAAGTGTTTGAGGGTGCTCAACTTATGAAAGGGGTCTATTGTATTAAATTGTACTTGTTACAATGAAATAAGGTTAAAACTTTCCATTTTAGATATAAATGTATACAAAATTTTGACAAACTTAGTAATGAAAATAAATATCATTACTACGGTAAGTGATGAGAAAATGTCATTTTCCTTTAGCACAATATTTGAAAAAAAAACTGTTTTAATTTTTAAGACAGCAGCACCTCATAAACTAAGCCAGTAACATTGTTATCAGTTGTTAGATAAATTTCAGTATTTGCATTTGTAGTTTCAATTTTTTTTTCTAATATCTTTGCTTTATGTTTCTTTACTTTTCATGCAGTTATAAACGTAATATGCTTGACATATTTGTAACTGACCTTGTTTAGTATTTCTGTCTTCACATTACAAATGTTTTTTAAGTGTGAAATGAAAATATAAACATAATTTTCTCCTTTCAGTTAACACACACATGTATCCATTGGGGCTTGTCAACTTGCTTGCTTCGTCGTTCTTTCAGAGATAACAAGTTGCGTCAACTGCGGATTACGTATAGGTGTCAATGGTTTATTTAACCGCTACGCGCAATAGGACAATAGGACAGCGGCCGTTTCGAGACCAGTGATAGAGGAACTGTGATAGTACTTGTGATCGAACTGAACGATCGTACTTATGTGTCATTTAAAATGTGCGCCCTCAGTGTTTGCATTTTTATAAACAAAGTAAAACCATCCACTGTGTCGAGGCGCCGTGGCAAATCAGCAAAATGGCTGTCATGTTGTCAAGTTCGCCAAGAGTCGTTCCTTTAAACTACGACCCTGCATTCAAAGGTGAGTTATGGATGTCCTTTTAAAAAATTAAAAACACATTTGAAAAAAACGTTGACTGCGAAATTATGATATAAGTGTGCATTTCATTTAGATAAAACAAATGCTTCACCCGTATGCAATATTGAGCAATCTCGATCATCGGCACATTATTTGGGCTCTATCTCCTAGCCCTGCGTACAGTGCTGTGTGTACGGGGACGCGTTCGGTTGATAGATGTCCCCACCACAGCCCTGCGTACCTCCATAGACAAAGTCCGGGAGCGCACCGTAATTGGTGCGCAAGTTAAAAAATAAGTAGTTTCCCAACCGAAAGCGGTTGAAATGACGATAGTTATCCGTAACAACCATTAACAAAGTTATCTGAAACTGAAATGTCTTTAAAAAGCGACTAGTAAAGACGGACAAAATGTAAACGCGTGGGTACCGGAGAAATTATCCACCAAGTGCCGCCATTTTTAATTTCATTCACGCAAGAGAATGTGTTTGTTTTTAGGGCAAAGTAGCCGATTTCATCCACAATTGGACTCCGAACTGGGAGTTCTGGATATATCTGGTGATCGATCATCATTTTTGGTACCTGGGCATGTTATTTCATTAAAAAAATTATATTTTTCAAAGTCCCCGTACACACAGCACTGTACGCAGGGCTATCTATCTCCTAGCTGCTTTTTACATTACATGTAATACTAATTTATTATTTGTCAGGTTGGAATATTGAATTAAATTTTGCCATGGCAGTGTTTGTGCCTCGCAGCCGATGACTGAATGTAATTGACTTGCTTCTGACAACAGTCAACTGAACAACACATTTTTTTACTAATTTTACTAATTTAGATTTGAACTGGAATTCAGATGGTTTCAAATATTGGTAAATTAATCTCATTACTGGGTAGTTCCCATTCAAAACAGGAGCTTATGGATTGATCTCTGTATGTACGGCAATCTGTTTTGCCTTCATCTATATCTTGGACATGTCTCCAACCACATTCAAAATTCACATTTTGAGAAAAGTATACATT